CGCAACGCCAATATAGTCGAAACTATTTACAAAAAAATCGTCTCGCGAGAAGCCCTTTGCGCATACGCGCAATAAGTCGTACTCATTCGAATTAAATTGACAGCGGAAAACTGTGGGAGACGGCAGAGTTCGCACTGAGAGCCGGTCTCGGCCAGACCGGGTGAGCTGAAATACTGTTCGCCAATTCGGGAAGTGGCGGCGATCGCGGCAGTTACAGAAGTGTTTGCCCAGCCTACCATTGCACTAACTAAGGTATGGAAACCGCTCCAGTCTACTCTGCGCGGCAACCACGATTGAGCCTCGCGCAGGCCGCCTGCCGCGGTTGCGCTTAGAGCACGCTTTCCGTCGCGTAAGTGGTGGACACCTCGACGTCGGAGCCGTCGTCTGAGTCCGCGCTGATCAATATCGAGTGCAGCAGTTCTTTCTGCTTCTCCGGGTCGGAGAACACGAGGTTGGCTTTCTCGAGCGGCAGCTTGTTCAGCGAGATGATCTGGTACGCGTAGCCCTGGTCGATTAAGTACTGCTGCCGCTTGTCCGCGTAGATGATTTCGGGCGTGTCCTGCGAAGCCAGGCTGTAGAAGAATGCGTTGTACTGCGAGTGCTGCTGCAGCCCGGGCTTCGGCCGCAAGATGCGGCCAAGCCGCTGCGTCTCTTGGCGCCGCGAAGCGTAGTTAAACGAGATTTGAATGACCACGTTCGCGCACGGGATGTCGATCGCGTTGTCGCCGACCTTCGAGAGAAAGATGGTCTTTTCGCTCGGATCCGTTTTGAACTTGTTGAGGATGAACACGCGCTCGGCGGTCGGCACGTCGCCGCTGATGAACGGACGCTTCAGCGACACCGCCATCACCTTCAGTGCCATCAAGTAGTCGCTGAACACGATCACTTTGTCGCCGCGCGCTTCGTGGAACTGGATCAGGTACTCGCAGGCGCGCAGCTTGTTGGGGTTGCAGGTCCACAACTTGCGGAGCACTGTGCTGGCCCGCTCTTTGCGGCCCGCAGCCGTCACCCCGCTCTTGCGCGAGAACTGGTTGAAGGCGCGGTAGAATTCCAGCGTCATCGGACACCACACCTCGCTGCACTTCGCGCGCGCGAGGAAGCCGTTCTTCTGCAGCTCTTGCCAGTTGGCTTCGTCGAGCTTCGGGCCGACCATCCAGTGCAGATCGTCGATCAAATTGTCCTCGCGCACCAGCGTCGCGGTCAGCCCGATCTTGCAGTGGCTCCGGCACTGTTCGGTTACGCGGCGGAACGCCGGCGCCGGCGCAAACTGCACTTCGTCGAAGATCAGCAACCCCCAGTCGCGCGCGCGAATTTGGTTCGTGGCTTCTTCTGCGAGCTCGCTGCGCTGCCCGCTGAAGCTGATCATCGTGTACGTCGTGCAGACGATGCACGGCCCGTCCGGCAGACGGCTTTTAGCGTCGGAGGTGAGCACGACGATCTGCGCGGGGTCGACCGTCGAAAACTGCAGCAGCGACACGCGCCACTGCTCGACCGAAACGCTGTTCGAAGTCAAAATGATCGTCGACTTCTTGATCAGCGCGCATGCCGCGATCCCGAGCAGCGTCTTGCCTGCGCCGCACGGCAGCACCACGATCCCGCTCCGCGCACGACCGTTGTGGAAAATGCGCGACAGCGCGCGCTTCTGGTAGTAGCGCAGCTTCGTAGTTTGCCGCAGCTCGATGTGCAGCGTCGGGCTCGTCGTGTCGTTCAGCGCGTCGTACTCGGTGAGCAGCGGTTTGCCGAGCTCGTGCAGCGCCGCTTCCTTGATTGCAGACAGCGCTTTCTCCTGCACCTGGAAGCAGTAGACCTTGAGCTTCTTGCTCTTCTCGGCGTCCGGCGCGAGCTGCGCATCCGCGGCGCGCGCGAACGGCTCGTCTGTGGCGCTGCGCACGTAGGAGACCTTCAAGTACTGAGGCAAAACGGCGTCTAGCTGCGTGTGCAGCGAGAGCTCCGCGTCGCGCTGCGACTCTTCTGCGCGCTGCGCCGCAGACTCCGCCAGCTGCGCGTCGCTCACTTCGAGGTAGCGCACCTCCAGCGTGCTCTCCACGCGCGACGCAGCAATGATTGGGAAGCGCATCAGCGAGTCGATGTCGGCCTTCGAGTGGCTCTCGATGTAGTACTTCGAGTTGCGCAGCACCAGCTTGACCCGCCCAAACGCGCAGCCCAGAGCCTCGATCGTACTGATCAGACTTGCGTCCAGCACGTTCTTCGCGTACTGCTGCAGCAGCGAGACGATTCGCGCGCTCGAGATGCCCACCGACATTGCCGCGAACAAACTAAACACCGTCAGCTGGTACTCTTGGATGAACATCGGCCGGCTGATTGGCTCCGCGATCGAAATCAGCAAGTCCGTCACGTGCTGCGCATCCACCGAGGACACGTCGAAAATGATGAAGCCGTTTTGCAGCACGATGAGGCAGCCGCTGCCGTCCGGCGACTTTATTTGCAGGTTCGTGTAACTCAGCGCGCTGGCTTCGGGCGACGTTTCGCGTGTTTGGTTGATCAAGTTCGCGGTGAGCGGCAGCTGGTACGCGGTGATGCCGCCGCGCGACTTTCCGCCCGGCGGCTGGTCGGGCTTCGGCTCCGCACTCGGCGGCATGCCCTAGTCGGTGTCGCGCGCGCCGCAGCCGCAGGACTGGACGCAATCCAAAAGCTGGGGCGAAAATCGCAAGATCGCTTATTTTAATTTGTGTCGGGCACTAAATTCATTTTAATAATTGGCCATGAGATTGCTTTTGTCGGCAGCACTCAGCTTGTTGTTGATGGCACAAGCAAACGCAGAAGTCTCCGCACACGGCGGGATCGCTCGCACGCACAGCGCAGAGAGCTTTTCGCCGTGCCTCGAACAGCCTGTTGCGCAGTGCGTCGACGCGGAGCGCGCGCAGCCGCTGCTCTCTTTCCAAGACTTGCGCCGTCAGGTGCGCGTGTTGAGGCTGTCGCTCGCCGCGCTGCTGATGCACTTCAACCAGAAGCTCTCGGGCCTCGTCGGCTTCGATGTCGCGAGCGCGGCAGCCAACTTCGCGCAACAGCAGTACGCGAAAAGCGCGCGCGTGCCGCTGCTGCGCGTACTCGGCAACAGCCTCGCGCGCGGGGCGCGCGATATCGCGCAATACGGCCGCACCCTCTCGCACAGTCTGCTGCTCTACGCGACCCCCGCCTGGACCTTTGTCGTGAAGCACGCAGACAGGTTCACTGCTTCGCTCATCAAGCAGCAGCCGGAGTTGAAAGACGCGTACAGCGGCTCGGACGCGGACCGGATACTCTCCGCCTCCGCTTTTTTCCTAGTCGTGATCGGGCTGGTCGAGCTCTTCGAACGGCTGCTGAACTGCTGCTCCGAGCGCTTCTTGTGCTGCCTCTCGTGCAAGCGCGGCTGCGCGCGCCGCGCTTGCTCGCGCACGAACGTCGGCATGCAGACGCGCTGCTCCGACAGTCCGGCGGCCTACGGGAAAACCGATATTTCCACGGAAAAACTGGGGCAACGCGCTGCGGAAACGCGGCCTTCGACCTCTGGCGCGTCGGTCAAAACTTCGAAGCGCACTTCGCTCGCGCACTGATCAACTTGCGTAATTTTTCGACCCGCTGCGCGTCCGCCGCGCTCAGAGCAACTTGAACCCGCTCGTCAGCGGCTCCAGCGCGGAGGCGGGCAGCGGTCCGACCGCGCATGCCGTGTGGCTGCCCGGCTCGATTTGCGTGCGCCCCGCATCGCAGATTAGCGCGCACGGCAGTCGGCGAGCGTGCGCGGTTTCGTACAAATTTAGCAGCTCGGCTTCCGAGTTGGCCTTCACAACGATCTTCCGCTGGCCTTGCGCCAGCCAGCGCTTCGTGTGCGCGGAGTTCTGTTGCTTGCGGAACGCCTCCACGGCCGCGTGGCAGCATTGCGAAGCAATCTTGCCTTTGCCCATTTTGAGGTCGTTGCGCACGCAGATGACCATTTTGTACTCGTCTGCGCTGTCGTAAGGTCGCTCCGCGTCGCGTTGGCACGGGAGCCAGCTCTTCCAGAACTGCAGAGTTTTCGAGAACATAAAAAATGACAAGGGTGGGATTCGAACCCACGCCCCAGAGGACCGCGGCCTTAACACGGCGCCTTAGACCACTCGGCCACCTTGCCGAAAACTGCTCGTCGCGGACTGGTTGAACGCGTTATTTTGACACATATCGTTATTTTAACATGGCTGACACACTCACCGACGAACAGATCGCCGAGTTTCGCGAGGCGTTCACGCTGTTCGACACCGACGGCGACGGCGAAATCTCGGTGAAAGAAATTGGCTCGGTGATGCGCGCCCTCGGGCAGGCGCCCACCGAGGCGGAGATCAGAGACATGATCGCGGAGGTCGACGACTCGAAGACCGGCCTGATCAACTTCAAAGCGTTTCTGCAACTGATGGTCAAGAAGATCCGCGACACTGATACGGAGGAAGAGCTGATCGAAGCCTTTCAGGTTTTCGACCGCGAGGGCAAGGGCTACATCTGCGCGCAGGAGTTGCGGCACATCATGACGCAGCTAGGCGAACGGCTGACCGCCGAAGAGGCCGACCTGCTCATCAAAGAAGCGGACACCGACGGCAGCGGCCGCATCAACTACGAAGAATTTGTGAAAATGATGCTCGCCAAATAAGCTAGTATCCGTACTGTTTGCGCGGCACGGGTTGCGACACCGGGTGCGGTGAATACGGTGCTTCGCGCAGCGCGGCGTACTCCATGTATTCATAATTGCCGGCGCGCGGCTCTGCGTACGCGTAAGGCTGCGTTCGGTAGCCCGCATAGTCGTGCGCTGCGTGCTCGTAAATCAGCGGCTGCGCGTAGGCGGCAGGAGGCGCCGGCGCCGGCGCCTCGTAGTACGGCTGCGGCGCGAGCGGCACGCGCTCGTTGAACAGTCTCGGCGCGTAAGCTTCGCAAGGCGCGGCCGCCGCGTGCTCGTATACAGACGCTCGAGCGCAGGCCTCGTGCGGCGCGTACAATTCAGTGCGCAGCGTCGCGGCAGCGCCGCGGTTCGCGAAACCGTCCGCAGCGCGACACGACTCCGTCCCGAGCCGCTCTGGCAGCGCTGGCGCGAACGACTCGGGCGCGATGCCGCACAGCGCCGTCGCGAGTCGCGCACGATCGCGCCGCCGCTGCGGAGCCGCTTCGGCGTGTAAACCGTTCCCGACCCGTGCCTTACTACGCACTGCCCTTGCCTGTGCGTCCCCTAGTGCTTCGTTGTGTTGCGGGTTGTTCATCACGTTTTCAATTTGCGTGTCAATGAGCGCGTCGATGCCGCGCGAGAAACTTTCCGCAATTGTCGAGAAAACGCTGCCGAGCCCGCTCAAACCTTTCTGCAAAAGCACACGAGAGTTCGCTTCTGAAGCTTTAAGCGCGACGGAGGGCTGTGATAACTCTGCGGTCTGTGCCGGCGCGGGGTTCTCCGCGCGCGTCAGCCTGGAACCGAGCGTCTGCGCGCGGCGCGGTGCGGCAGCGTTGCCCACGACTTTCTGCCAGGCCTGGCTGAGCCTCAAGCCTGCCTTCGCCGTCTGCGCGTGCGGCTGTTTGCGTTCGTCTCTTTTCTCGGAGAGCACAGCGCGTGGCTTGTGCGAATCGTCGCAGTGCAGTACAGCTTCATTAGCCTTCGGAGCGACGTTCGCGCTTGCCGAAAGCCGCTTTTCACTACTGGATGTAGATTTCGCAGAAGCGCTGGGCGCGAGAACGGCACTTTTCGGCTGCGCGCATTCCGTGTGAGCCACTTTCGCCGTTCCAGGCATTTCAAAGCGTCTGCTCTGCGCGCAGTTTTCCACGTCGTCTTTGTCGTTGACTGGCCGCACAGCGAGCGCTTTGTTGGTGAGCGTGCTCATCTTGCGGTTTAGGTAGGCGACCACCGTGTTTGCCGAAGGCAGCCGCGAGAAAGCAACGGCCTCGCGCTCGGCGGCCTGCGGAGAGTCGATACTTTGCAGCGGTTTCGGCAAGACAAACCCGGTCCAAAAGTTCAAAGAGATTTTCTTGAAGTAAGCAACGAGAGCGGCTTTGTCGTACTCAGTCGGGTTCAGGAGAAAGACGCCGTGCAAGTCTGCGAGTTCCACGGTTTTCGCGAACATCGGAATGCTGATCTCAACGAGCTGCGGCTGGCTGTGGGCTGTCCACTCGGCGAACGCAGGAAGCCCGAGCGCGCACTTGCGGAGCGTAGCGCTCCAGTTTGAGTGCGAAAGGTCTTGGTCGCAGCGGGGCTGAACCCAGCAGTTGCAGCCGTGTGTCAGCGAATGCGAGGGCGTGAGGTAGAAAAGTGCGTTTTTGCTGCTCTGTACTATGACCTCGTTGCCGAACTTGTTCCCAATCAGTTGTAAAGGGGCGAAAGGCAGCTCGACGCGGCGCAGCTGCGCGCAGGAGAGCGCATTTGCGCAAAGGGAGTTGCCGACGCCGTGCTGCATCTCGGTCGAGCCGTGCTGCGCCGGGACGGGCTGCTCTTCGTCTACTTTTTCTGGGGCGCTCAGCGCGCACGCGTCAGTGCAACCGCCGAACTGCGGCTCGACTTGCGGCCGTTCGGCGTCTGCGCGCAGAGGAGATTCGCAGCGCCGCACGTTGGCATCGTGGTAGTTCTCGCTGCTGCTGCTTGCTTGCGCTTTGTTGCGCGGCTCGGCTGCATCTGCGTTGCTTGCGGCTTCTTTTTGCGAGAACAGATAGACGCTGCCGTCGCTGAACGTGAGCAGCACGGCACTGGAAATGGCGAGCACAGCCTTGATTTCGCGCTCGAAAGAGTAGCAGAAGCAGGAC